TCCTCTACATCGGGGAAACCAAGCGGAGACTCGGGGACCGCTTTGCAGAACACCTACGCTCGGTTCGCAACAAACAACTGCACCTCCCAGTCGCGAACCATTTCAACTCCCCCTCCCATTCCTCAGACGACATGTCCATCCTGGGCCTCCTGCAGTGCCACAACGATGCCACCCGAAGGTTGCAGGAACAGCAACTCATATTCCGCTTGGGAACCCTGCAGCCCAATGGTATCAATGTGGATTTCACAAGTTTCAAAATCTCCCACTCTCTCCCTATTTATTTCAAAACCCCCTTCCCCTCCCCATTTTCTGATGAAGGGTCTCGGCCCGAAACGTCAGCCTCTCTGCTCCTATGATGCTGCTTGGCCTGCTGTGTTCATCCAGCCCTGCACCTTGTTGTCTCGGATTCTCCAGCATCTGCAGTTCCTACTATCTCTGGCCTACTCCTGGTCCTATTTGTTATGGTCCTATCATCTGTGACAGGGCAGAGATTGGCTAGCAGAATAACCAGATGGGATTTCACACAGACAAGTGTGACATGTTACATTCTGGCAAAATGGGTGTGGAGACGCAATATAGTTTAATGACACAGCTTGAAAGAGTTTTCGGGTACAGAGGGACCTGCGGTTTTGGTCTCTTTATCTGAGGAAGGATGTTCTGGCTGTGGTGGAAGTGCGATGAAGGTTTACCAGACTGACTCCTGGGAAGGACTGACATATGAAGAGAGACTGGATTGTTTAGGACTTTGTTCACTGGATCTGAGCAGAATGAGGGAGGCTCTTGTAGAAACCAGTGAAATTCTAACAGGTCTTTACCAGGTAAATGCGGGAAGGATGTTCCCAATAACACAAAACCAAGGGTACTCCATTTAGGATTGAGATGAGGAGAAATTTCTTCACCCAGAGAGTGTTGATCTTTTGGACTTCTCTGCTGCAAAAATTAATTGGGCCCAAAACACTGTTTTCCAGAAGGATGATCAGCCATGATGATATTGAATGGTGGAGCAAGCTCAAAGGGCTGAATGGCCTATTACTGTTACAATTTTCTGTCTATGTCTCTGAGATAATTGTGTGTGATTAGCAACATGATTACACATGCCAGGACATCAGAGTAAATGGTACCAAAACATCCTTCACTTTCTCCTTTTACCTTCAAATACAAAATCCATTGGCCAAAGTTTTATTTTCACAAAGTCAATCTCTGCAAAGAAACCTGTTTTCTAACTAATGGACCTTCATTCTCAGCCTTTTCTTCTGAAATGTTTTTCTTCTGCGTGTTTTGGAGGATATTGAGAGTGGTAAGTATTTATCCCATATACTCACTGTGTATATCATCTAATTCTTGCATCTTCTTTGAATAAGTTTCAAGTTAATAATAAAGCAATAATTGTGTTTATTCAGAAACGTAGTTGATAAATGTTTTTGTTTTGATAGAGATAAGGGTTTCAATTGGTCATGTATGTATTTTCAAAGGATGCCCACTTTGAAGAAGTTCTCTGCCTCCCTCAGACATAAACTCAGTGAGACCCTTTCTCATTGCCACACTGCTGTGACCTCTTCTGCCCTTCAGCTCTTCGACCACACCATAAAACAAATATTTATTCACAGCGACTCGGAACACAAATTTGAAGAACAATACCATGTCTTCCACCTGGGCACCCTACAGCCCAGAGGACTCAACATTGAGTTCTCCAATTTCAAATAACATAGAACATAGAACAGTACAGCACAGTACGGCCCTTTGGCCCATGATGTTGTGCCGACCTATTATCCTACTCTAAGATCAAATTGCCCTGCATACCCTACATTTTACTATCATCCATGTGCTATCCAAGGGTCGCTTAAATGTCCCTAATGTATCTGACTCCACTACCACCACCGGCAGCACATTCCACGCACCCACCACTCTCTGTGTAAAGAACCTACCTCTGACATCTCCCCTATACCTTCCTCCAATCACCTTAAAACCATGCCCCCTTGTAATAGTCATTTCCGCCCTGGGAAAAAGTCTCTGGCTATCCACTCCATCTATGCCTGATCATCTTGTACACCTCTATCAAGTCACCTCTCATCCTTCTTCACACCAGTGAAAAAGCTCTAGCTCCCTCAACCTTTCCTCATAAGACCTGCCCTCCAGTCCAGGCAGCATCCTGGTAAATCTTCTCTGCACCCGCTCTAAAGCTTCCACATCTTTCCTATAATGAGGCGACCAGAACTAAACACAATAACCTTCCCACCCATCCCCCGCTTCCCCTTGCAGCCCACCTCCTTCCTTCCATTCCACCTTCTGATTGTCCCTCCCATTGACCAACCAGGTTGTACCTACTACCAGTGCCCACCTATTACCATCATTCTGCTCCACCCCTTCCCCCTGACCTTTATCTGCAGATCCCCCTAACCCCACATCCAGTCCTGAAGAAGGGTGATATCCAGGTTGACTGTTCCTTTCCTCCAGATGCTGCCTGGCTTGTTCACCCTGTATGTCACTGGAACAGGATACCCTGTTGTAGGTGATAGGACCATAAGAAATCGAAACAGGAGTAGGCCATTTGGCCCCTTGAACCTACTCTGCCATTCAACAGATCATGGCTGATCTGACAATTCTCACGTTCTTGTTCAACGTTGTGACTCCTGGAGTCACAGGACTCTGGTGACAATGCTCTCCTTCAGCCTCAGCCAGAATAACAATTAGAAATGATGTGATTTGAACTGACAGTCTCTTCCATCAGTCCAACTGCAAACCCATTGAAGGAAAGCAAAGAAAATAAAATTAGCTCAAAATGTTTCTTAAGAGCATCTTACACAATCTCAGGAGGTTCCAAAACATTTTGCAGGCAACAGATTACTTTTTCAACTGTAATCACTGTAGTGATGTAGGAAAAAAAAACATAAGCCAAGTTGCTCACAGCAAGTTTGTACAAACAGCACAGAGATAGCAAACATATAATCAGTGTTAGTGATGTTGAGGGATATAATGAATTAGTACATCAACTCCCCTACTCATCCTTGAATATTACCTTGGGGTCTCTTATTGCCACATGAATAAAACATTTCCTGCAAAATAGACACTTCTGACATTATAACTCTGCGAGTGACAATGACCGTGATTACAATTCAAAATCTCTTCAATTGGCTGCAACATGCTTTTGGTTATCTGGTGTCTCATGAGAAACAAACTAAGACGCAAGTGCACAGTGAGAACCTACCCGCACCCCCCGCCCACCCACCACCCCACTAAACAAAGTGACAACCCAGTGCACAGAAGAGAGAGGTTCTTTCACAGGAATTTTGAGATCACTCAGTCAGGCAGCGGAAACTAAGAAACATCTCACAGGTATCAGAACAAGCATTAATTTCATTTTATGCATCACATCTTCCCTAAAATGTGGTCCAGGACACATCTCGATGTTTGCTTGTATCATTATATTATTTTTAATAAAAAGTATAGAACAATTTATTCTCGCTATTACAGGCCATTCTTTGAAGGGATGTCACATTCCAGCTCACAGACTGAGATCGTCAGCCTGCTCAATCACAGGAGCCAAACACGGGAACAGCCAAGTCCAGTGAGTCTCTCTCGAGATAACTCTCACATCCCAGCCAGTCTCTATAAAACTGATGGTCCTCACTCACAGCCCAGTCAGACTCTGTATAACTGTTGGTCCTCACTCACAGCCCAATCATTCTCTATATAACTGTTGGTCCTCACTCACATCCCAGCCAGTCTCTATAAAACTATTGGTCCTCACTCACATCCCAGCCAGTCTCTATAAAACTGATGGTCTCTATAAAACTGAAGAAGGGTCTAGGCCCGAAACGTCAGCCTTCCTGCTCCT